GCCCACCAGTAGCTAGTTCATGCCCACCAGTAGATAGCTCAGGCCCACCAGTAGATAGCTCAGGCCCACCAGTTGCTAGTTCATGCCCACCAATAGATAGCTCAGGCCCACCAGTTGCTAGTTCATGCCCACCAATAGATAGTTCACGCCCACCAATAGATAGTTCACGCCCACCAATAGATAGTCCACGCCCACCAATAGATAGTTCACGCCCACAATCGATAGTTCACACCCACCAGCTGCTAGTTCACGCCCACAAGCTACTAATGCCCACCCACGAGTCGCTAATTCATGCCCTCCAGTCGATAGTTTACGCCTACAAGGTACTAGTCCACAGCCACCAGACACTAGTTTACGCCCACCAACTGCAGATAAAGGGCTGATTTAGGAGGAGGCCCGCATGTGACGTATATTGAGGGTAATAATGTAGCAATTTCTTAAAGCATGTTGGGGGAGGGGGGTGCATCAGAGTACTGGGGAGGTGAGATTCACCGGCTGAGTTTTGGTTGACTTTCCATCTCCTTTAAACTAAACCGTGCTCCATTTTATTTTTCCACCCGCGCAGGTTCCGCCGTGCAGTATGTTCCCACCGTGTGCAACGGTCGCGAGGTGGTGGACTCCACTACGTCGTCCCTGTGACGCGAGCAGGGGGCGGAGATGCAGCGATGACATCCCAGCTGTGGAAGAAGGCCGACCCTAACAAGATGGCTCTGGAGACGTCGGGCCTGACCGGGACTTCGAGCTCCCAATGCTGATGAACCTGCCCAAAGCCAAAACGTCCATCGGCGTTCCAGACTATCCGTCTTTTGCCAGTTATCTTATCGGCGCCAACGACGCGGTCCGGCGCGTTCCAATATTTATGGTGCAAATTGGAAGGGCAGATGAGACGCCAGAGACATTCAATGGTTTCCAAGGCCGCAGTCATGGCCGACTCCTCTGGAAAATGCCGCCATGGACAATCTTCCATCTCGAGGCCGGCGGTGGGACCCCAGCGAGAGACATTTATTTGCCGGAGTCTTTAGTCTGACATGTGGGGGGACATTGTACAGGAGATTGATTGTAGACGTTTTTACCTAGTATTGCACAAAAAATAACCTGGCAGGGCGCCCGTCTGCCCCGTGGTTGAGCGCGCAGGGTAAGGGAACTGCAACCTCAAGCTGGAGGATAGGAGGGTGGGGGACTGTGGGTGGCAGGACTGCCAATATGGGGGTACGGGGGGGGGGGACAGGCAGTGCATTCGTACAGGGCCCAGGCTCCATTGGGGGAGCAAGGGGTCCCGGCCTGGGCTGCCTGTAGGCCCATTGTAGTGGTATTCCAGCAGAGTGCAAGAGATCAGAGCAGCCCCAGTCTAAATTTCTCCTCCGCTTAGCGCCCCCTTAGCATAGCTCCGCCTCCCCCTGCAATTGATTGACAGCAGAGGAGGACTGTGCTGCGAAGCGTCCTATTGGACGCCTCACAGCATAATCACCGGTGCTTTATGGGGTGAGAACTTCCCAGGAACTGAAGAAGGTTAAGTCACCCTTTGGGGTAGGGGCCCTGTCAGGTGGTCTGTAAGGGACCCCAATGGTTTCTAATGACCTTGATGGATGGCACCTGGAGCTGCCAGTTACCGACCCTTCTGAGAACAAAACAGATTTTCTGCAAATGTAACATTTCCTCTTTTACTTCTTTGCACTAAAATTTTGCAGAAACTCCTCCAGACATCAGCGGAAATATGAGACATCTTCAAAAACAAAACCCCGCCCCCCCCCGAACCTATTGTCACATGGCGTCACGCCAAAGCCGCAGTGTTCCGTCACCCGCAGACAGGGTCTCTTTGTTCAGTCTGGAAGCACTTTCGCTTTGTACGGCACAAGCTCTCCATATCAGTATCCTGTAAATAAAATCTCTGTTTGTAGTTTGAGGGATCGGTGTTTTAGGTGCTTTCCGGCATTTTCCTCCCCGGGGTCACTTTAAAGGGCAAAAAGAAAATGTCCCGGTCCGTTATAGACGACGTGTAAAAAATATATTATATAAGAAAATAGAGAAAAGTCTCCACCACGTTGGCTTTGTACTTGGAAAGGATTTTTATCACATTACCTGCTTCTGTCCTGTAGATACTGAGATCGGCCATTGCAGTGTTGTTTCTTAAAGTGGGAGGGGCCACCTGTCCGGATCACATGATCAGCCTTGCATTGTAAAGATGAGATTCTCAGGACAGCGAGCTTGTGGACACAGCCGGGGATGCCATAAAGCTGAGCAGATTTCTATTTTTTAAGTATGTTTGGTACTCCACCATTTTGTTATAGCTCAACTCCAGGCCCCAGACCCTCACATTGGGGCCCCACTACACTGCAAGGGTTAACTGCGTGAGAAATGTTGGGGTGCAGGGATAAGGAGTAACACAAACATTAGTCCTCGCTGTGGTAGGCTTCTACCTTCTGTGCGACCGCTCCAGCGACTACTCCTCTCTATGGCGCTCCCTGCCACGGGCGCACACTCACCTCCTCCACATACAATGCAACCCGGAGCGCCAGGGACCAGAGGAGAGCGCCGGAGCCGGGGGTCAGGTCTGTAATATCTTCTCTTGTGCTACCCAGAGCAGCATTTATCAAACTTTCTTTTTGGCACCCTTAAAAAGTATGCAAAATTGTGAGGCGCCCCAGTCTAGAATGTAA